CGGAGGGAGAGAGAGATTCTCCAAATACTAGACTCTTTCCCAGTCCGGGGCTTGAGGTGAGCAAAGGAGAAAGCAAAGGGAAAAAATCAGATTAATCTAGACCACCTGGAAAAGATGATACAGCAGCTTTCTGGTGGGAAAAGATGGTAAGTAGAAAGTAGGGACAAAGCTTCCCAGAAGCAATGAACTCAGACCACTTACCTTCTATTCATTCTTGTGGGTTTTAAGAGCCCCAGTCCTCCTTGTCTCCCCTGCAGGGGCAAGTGATTACCAAGGGAGAAGTTACCCTGATAGAGATGACTGACGGGAAGAGTTAGACAGATTGGCCCTGATCCTGCTAGAGTGGAAGCCAGGGAAAGAGAATAGCTAGTTCTCTTGGGAGCAAAATTCCTTCTAACCTCAAGCACTTTTAGACATGTAAATTAGGAATACAGTTTTAATAAAATTGATTTCAATGTATTTCATTTTATGCATTTAAGAACAGTATTCTAAGAAGAGGGTCATCATATTGTCAAAAGGGGTCCATGACATGGAAAAGGTTAAGAACCTCTGTGGTAGAATGACCTTGAATTTTTCTCTCAAGTGAAGAATCAAAGGCCTTTTAGAAATGTTTATGGTCTTGGGATTCTGCATGTGAAATTCTAAGAATCTATGGTAAGTTATGTTGTAGAAAACATACTTACTCAGATACAGGCTATGTGAGATAGCCTCTGAGGTCCCTTACACCATGGGAATTCTATGTGTATCTGGAATTCTAAACCCTCTACAATTTTTTAGTTATTCCTATGCAATGGGAAAGTAGCTGGATTTGGAGTCAGGTAACCTGGGCTTGAATCCTGGCTTTGTCACTTACTACCAGTATAACCTTGGGCAAAATCCATTCTTCTTCTGTTGTTGTGGTTGTTATATCTTGTGTTCTAATTTGTCTCTCTTCTTCCCAGCTCCTCTTTAGAGGTCAACATTATATATATATATATATATATATATGTGTGTGTGTGTGTGTGTGTGTGTGTGTATGTGTGTGGGTGGGTGGGTGGGTGTGTAGGTGGGTATGTGTGTGTGTGTGGGTGTGTGTATGTACGTATATATGTGTGTGTGTGTGTGTGTTTCTATACATGTCCATTCCTTTTTTATACTTCAGTTTCCTCCTCTGGAAAATTAGGTGGTTGGGCTAAATCAGAGGGGTCAAACACACAGTCACGTGTAGTCCATCCATAACACTCTCAAATATTACCCAAACCAGATTAAGATATAATTGAGAAATATTGATGAAAATAAATAAAAATACAATAAAACATAGATTATAATAATATGTGGTTTTCTAAGTCAATATACAGGCCCCAGAGATCCTTGTGTCTGGTTTAGAGGCCCCCATCTCTACTTAAATTTGATACCCCTGGACTAAATAGTTTCCAAGGCCCCTTCTAGCTCTAAGCTCTAAGCTTCTATTTTCCTATGACTCCCTCTCCTTCCATGGAGATGAAGTCCATTACAACTTTTGGGTAGGTCCAATTACTAGGAATTCTTTTCCTTATATCAAGTCTAAATTTGCCATTTTGCAAAGTCTATCAATCATGCCAAAAATGGGACATAAAGAAAACATTTTTAAATGCACAAAAGAAAAAAGAGAGGAATAGACAAGGACACAAATAACACTCTTAAATTATTAAATTAAAAATATTTTAAACTACCTAAGTTTATAGTTTCTTAAACAATCATCTTTCCTCTTTTGTATATTGAAACGTTTACATTTGCTTACTAAGTTCACCATAAAAGATAAAGATAATTTTTTACAAACATAATCAAAATAAATACAAGATAATTTGGGAAGGCGGGCACTAGGGCTTAGGTGGGGAGGGTCACAAAAGCCTTCATGTAGAAAGTAGTACCTGAACTGAATCCTCTGGTAAAGACATCGTACTGTACATAAAATCCATGTTTGGCATAGTGTTCTCTCTGCAGGGCATATCTGCTATTCTTGTGGTTGTTGAGTTCTGCTGGCTTTTATCTCTTTAGACATTTGTTGGGCTCTCTGCTTCCCTCTACACATTCCAGAATTTAGCCAAGCAGTTAACAAATGCCAATACAATGTCTCCATGCTAAGATAGTCTGGTTTTTTTTTTAAAAAAGGTAATCAAAGGACATAGACCCAGACAACCATTTGACTTAAGGTTAGAAAATTTCTTGTAACTCCCATTTAACCCTTGATTACAAGTCTGTGTTATCAAAATCTATTTCAAAAACCTTGTCCAAACAAAACAAAACAAAACAGAGGTGTGTGGAGGTTGGGGCAAATAAGTTCAACTCACTTCCAAGATCCTCTGATTGGCATGCAAATCAAAAAAGGACAGAACCAAAGGCCAGGTATAGCACCTGGGTCACATTCTTCCATTTATGAGATCTTCCAGCAAGAAAACAAGTTTTGATTTTCTTTTGGGTACCTCTGCCCAGGACAGAAATGCCTCTTCTCTTTACACACAGATATACACAACCCCACAAGATACCTTAGTTCTGGAAATCAGAAGTAGAGATTTCTTTCGTTGCTGTGGTAAAACTTTTATATCTCTTAAAGTCTTTGTGGTCTTCTTCAATTTTTTTAAGCATCATGCTCTGTAGAAAGGAACATGGTCCCTCTAATAGAAAGCAATTTGTATCTGGATCAAGTTTATGAGTTGAAGCTGTAAGTAGATGGCATATACATAACAGGAAGAAGTTGGTTTTGTCTCTTAGTTCCCCCATTCCTCACCCGAACCAGAAAAGGAGGTCAGAGATAGAAGTCAGATGGCTGGTGGAAAGAACCTTTTAGTTGGAGAAAAGGCAGTCATTATGACTATGGTTTTTCTCTCTCTTTCTCCTGTCCCTGAGAGGAGGGATAAGAAACTTAGGAGCAGAGGGAACAGAGGGATGGAAAGGCTATCCCTTTATAATTATCTATTCCCCTAGGAAAGAAGCAGTCTAGATAGAACAGTTGATACGTCTTAGTCCTAGACTTGCAGTCAGCAAGACCTGAGTTCAAATCCTGCCTCATTCACTGACTAGCAGTACGACCCTAGGCAATTCACTTAACCTCTCTGGGCCTCAGTTTCCTCATCTGTTAAATGGAAGTAATAATAGCACCTATCTCCCAAGGCTGTTGTAAGGATCAAATGAGATGACACATGTAAAGTGTTTTGCAAACCTATAGAAATGATAATGTTGATGAAAGAAAGAATATTGACCTTGGAGTCAAGACCTGGGTTTGAGCCCCAGTGTTTCCACTTAATTGTGTGACAACCTGTATAAGCCTCAAATTCCTCATCTATAAAGTGTAAATAACTTACTAGCTATGTGACCCTGGGCAAGTCACTTAACCCCAATTGCCTAAAAAAAGTGTAAATAATACACAGGGTTATTGTGAGGAAATTGCATGGTTAGCTGTAAATTGCTATGTAAATGTCAGTCTACTGACGATTCAGTTTAATAAACATTTATGATTTACTTATTATGAATCACAGAAGCAGTCTGGTAAGTAGACAAATATATTGGATTTGGAGTCAGAAGATGGGTTCCACCAATTTCTATGAGTCATCTCAGAGAAATCCCACGATCTCTCTGGCTCTCTGTTTCTTCATCTATAGAATGAGGGAGTTGGACAACTCTAAGGTCCCTCCCAGATCTGAATCTACGATTTGCTATTAAAATCTATGACCTTCTATTAAAAGTCTTCCTGTTAAGCTACTTGGCCTATGATTCAAAGACAAAAAACTAGTCCTTGTCCTCAAAGAATTTACATTCTTTTGGGTGAGTTTATATTCTACTTAAAGTAAGGAAAGTTCCAAGTAACCAGAAAATTGAATCCATGCTGCTTGGGGGTAGAGTGGGAGTGGATGGGTAAAGAATTTTGATACAAAACTAAAATAAAGTTCCTAGAACTGTCCATACAGGAAACTGGGACAAAAATTCGGTATGAGCTAGAATAAAGATACAAGGAGAACTTACATTCTACTGAGGATTGGGATGCGGAGAGATACAACATTTAATAGATAATTTAAGGGTGATCAGAAAAGGCTTCCTGTTGGAACCTGAGCTAAGCTCCTGAGCTAAGCCTTCAAGGCTTACCTTGAAGGAAGGTAAGGATTCTAAAAAGAGGAAATAAACAGGGCGTGCATTCCAGACATGGGAGACACAACCTGTGAAAAGGCCTAGAGGTGGAATGCCAAGTTCAGGGAACAATGAGTAGGGCAATTTGGCTAGAGCATGTGAGGGAGGGTAAACTGAGGCTGCCACTGAAAGGCAGGTTGGAGGCCAATTGTGAAGTGTTTGAAATGCCAAGGTGAGGAGTCTGATTAAGCAGTGTGTCATTGGGATTAGTGAGCACAGCACCAAGTCATAGCAATTTTCACTAATAACTTACTCTTGAGGACTACTTCACTCTTTAGTGCCTAAACTTAGCTATTTTCAGGAGGGTAATGACTTTTTAAAGAGATGTACCTGGATGGAAAAGTGTGCTACTTGTCTTCTGGTTAAGAATCCCTGTGGTGGAATGACCTCAGGTTATTTTCTCAAGTGAGGAGTCAAAGGCCTTATAGAAGTACTTATGGTCTTGGGATTCTGCACATTAAATTCTGAGAATCTAGTATTAGGTACGTTATAGAAAACATTCTTGCTCATAGACAGGCTGGACGAGATGGCCTCTGAGGTCCCTTCCACTTTGGGAATTCTATGTGTCTCTGGGATTCTAAGCCAGACACTCTACAGTTTTTTTTGGTTATTCCTGTGCAATGGGAATATAGTTTGATTTGGAGTCAGAGAACCTGGGTTTGAATCATGGCTTTGCCACTTAATATTGTGTATGTATAATATGGATCCATATATTATAATATATATCCATATATCCATTGCTTCTTTTCTTTTCTTTAGGCAATTGGAGTTAAGTGACTTGCTCAAGGTCACACAGCTAGTAAGTGTCAAGTGTTTGGTCTGAGGCTAAATTTGAACTCAGGTCCTCCTGATCCTAGGGCTGGTGCTCTATCCACTGTGCCACCTAGCTACCCATTGCTTCTTTATACTTCAGTTTCCTCCTCTGGAAAATTAGGAGGTTGGGCTAGATCAGAGAGGTCAAACACACAACCTATGGGCCACATGTAGCCCATAACTCTCTCAAGTATTGCCCAAACTAAGCTAAAATGTAATTGGGCTAACCACACTTAGGAAAAATGTGTCTTTTTGGTGCCATATTTAATCTATAACCATAGTACCATTGCCCACTGAATGGCAGTGTCTCCTAATCATGGGCAAAGTAATAGGAAATTCCCTATACTGATAAAATCATAGGTCCAGTGACATCCCACTCACTCATGGTTGAACTATGGGAGAATCAGCGAGCAGCTATCAAAAAAGGGATGGGGAATAAACAGGCTAGGAGATGATGTGTTTGGAGGCTCGCTGATGAGGGGGTGATGAAGAACAATGCATGAGATGCAAGGTTTTATAGATACAGTGTTTTATAGAGGAGTGAGAAGTAGGGAAGAGGTAGAGTAAATGGGATGGGTGGAAGAAATTCGGCTCAAGGCAAGGAAGAGTGGGAAGTATAGAGAGTGGGAAGGGTGGAATATGAGAAAATTGCTCTGATGGGGAGGGAACAGGAGAGAAGAAAAGGACCACAGGCTGAGTAGAGATGGATAACTTTGCAGACTATCCCTGGGGCCCTTTGTTGTTTCTGAACAATATTTATGAGACTCCTGCCTCTGTTTCCCTCATCCACTAAAAGATCTGGTAATAGCATAAGCTAGAGACAGTGTCCTGTGCTGATAGGAATAATACAGATTTACTTTGAGATTTCTCACCTTTTAAAAAAAATTGCTGACATATTGTAGCACAGAAAAACTGTCTGGATATATAGTGACTGAGCTTGAATCAGGAAGAGGCAGTCTCCAAAGTCTTAGTGGAGTTTTTAAGCACTAAGACTTTGAGAATGCCCTGTACAATCAATGAGGAGCTTGAAGGAAGGTGCCCTTGAAATGTCAGGGGAAAGCAGTGCAGGCTTCTAGCTCATTGGTGAATGTGGGACAAGAGTCAAACATCATGGGCAGCTATGGATGGGTTATAATCTGTACTGTTGAAGGGGACTGCCCTCACCAGACAGTTCTAACTCAGAGCCCATTCCGAGACATACTATATCCAATAAAAGGGCTTATGTCTCTCTTTTTAACCAGCACAGTCCCTTTCTTAAGCCCCTTTCCAAGTAGCATCAGCAGACAAGTTTTCTGGTAGTGTCTGATAATGGCCCCAAAACCTTACTACTTCGAGTCTTTTAAAAACAGCTCCAAATGCAGCTCAGATTGGAACTTAATGATTTCACGATCTCCTTGTTCTTCTTCAGGAAACCCACAGCTACAGGCATCTTCTTCTTGGGCAGTCTGCACTGGTTTTATAAAAGCTAAAACAGAAAGAGATAGATGGTTACCTTTGCTTCTCCACCTGGGTGATTCTCCTCTGTTTCTCTTGAATTGGGATATTAAAACAGGTTGGCTTTCTTATTCTCTCTCTCTCTCTCTCTCTCTCTCTCTCTCTCTCTCTCTCTCTCTCTCTCTCTCTCTCTCTCTCTGTTTCTCTGTCCCCCTGTCTCCTAGGCTAGAAGGGCAGTGATCACTCACTGACCAATCCCACTAAAATCAGCATGGAAGCTCTGCCCTGCTCCATTTCCAATCTGGGCTGCTTTGCCCTTCCTCAGTCAGCCCACTGGCCCTTTGTTCATGGAAGGGCTCACCACATCACTGCAGGACTTTGTGTGGACACTTAATCACCTTTAGCCTGACTGCATCTCTGAACTCCTAGACTCAAATGATATCCATCATCCACAGTCTCCCCAGAAGCAGGGTTTTATAGGCCTGGGCCACCAAGCTTGGCTACACCCCAACTTTCAGAAAGGAGAGAAGCAAGCTTTCTCACCTACAAGACTCACTAGTGAAGGGAGAAATTTCTCTTAATTCTTTTCTTGGATTTAAGAATTTTATTTGCTCATCAATCCTTTCTGTTGTGTTGTTCAGATATTTCAGTCACGTTCACTTTTTGTGACCCCATTTGGGGTTTTCTAGGCAGACATACTGCAGTGGTTTGCCATTTCCTTCTCCAGCGTATTTTGTAGAGGAGAAAACTGAGGCAAACAGGGTTAAATGACTTGCCCAGGGGGATTTAAACTCAGGAAGACAAGTCTTCCTGACTGAAGGCCAGTGCTCCATCCACTTCACTGCCTAGCTGCCTTTGGCCCTTTCTATAAGTGACCAGAAGAGAATCCAACCTGGTAAATTGACATGCTTTCCATGTCCCACATGCAGTTGCTACCTGCTATGTTTCAAAGAGACATCTATTTACTTTTCAGGGTATCCTGGACCTCAGACCCCCCCATCTTGGTTAAATGATGAAAGCACCAGAAATAAAAAGCAAAAGCAAAAGTGAAAATTATTGCTTCGCAACCCTAACCCATTCACCAGAGAAAAACTGCTCAAAATAAGTCTAGCTTGGTTTTACACCATTGGGAGAATTCCTCATTTTATTAAGAGCACCCCCTTTTTCTCTTCAGTAGGCATTTTAAAAAATTCTCAGTCTGATTGATGCCTTTGTTACCAATTGATATAAACTGATTTTGTATCACCCTTATTTCTAAATTTTAGAGAGGTTAAGCAGCTTGCCTGTGAACACAGCCAGTAAGCATCGAAGGGGAGATGTGAACCTAAGTCATCCTGACTCCAAGCCAGCACTGCTAACCACTAGACCAAACTGCCTCTCAGTTCTGAAATCCTCATATCAGGTCATCTCTTTAGACCAAGCCTCAAGACACTTTCAGCCTTACTCCTGAATTCTAAAGGCTTCCCTGGCTTTTTTCATTCCCCTCTCAAGGCAGGTGTCTGTTTACCTCGAGGAAGGAAGGAAGCAAACACTTATTAAGCGTCTCTTATGTGCCAGGCATTGTGCAAGGCACTTTGAAAATATTGTCTAATTTGGTCTTCACAACCCTAGGAGGTAGGTGGTATTAATGATAACAATAATAATGATAATAATAGCATTTTTATATTTTATATAGCATGTGCCAGGCACTGTGCTAGGCACTTTGCAAATATTGTCTCATTTGGTCTCACAACACTCCTGGGAGGTAGGTGATATTAATGATAATAATAACAATAATAATAATAGTATTTGTATATTTTATATAGCATACACCAGGCACTGTGCTAAGCACTTTGCAAAAATCATCTCATTTGAACCTCACAACATCCCCAGAAGATAGCTGCTGCTAGTATTATCCTCACTGAACTAATGGAGGAAACTGAGGCAGACAGAGGTTATGTGACTTGCCCAAGGTCACACGGTTAGTAAGCATCTGAGGCTAGATTTGAACTCAGGTCTCCCTGGCCTTGGGCTCTATGAGCCACATCCATGTAGAGCAGAAGCAGTGATGGTTTCAGAGTTCATGGAGGAGTAAACATCTGATCATTCTATTCATTCCTCCACCCTGCTTCTGAGCTCATACTACCATGATCTCACCCATGGCCACCACACTCACTTATAGAAGGGAAGTCTGGGGTGGGTTCTTACTTTGCTTGAGCAGGTAGGGCAGTTTCTTCTTGTTTCTGATGCCACAACAGAACCATGACAAGAGGAGGAGCACAAAGAATCCTGTAGCCATAGTCAGAGCCAGAGTAAAGATAGCTAGTTGACGGTCCTTATCTTCAAAAAAAAAAAAAAATCAGAGGGTGAGAGAACAGAGAGTGGATAGAAAACCTTTGCATGGGGAGCCTGGTTACAAATTTATTCCTAAGCATGATGGAGGATGGTAAACTTTTGCACATTTCTAATATGTTAGCTTTGGGAATTAGGACCCTAAGAAGAATTTTGTGATAAATGAGCATTTTTCCAGACATAGAAATTTAATGGGCTCTCACTCACACACATGATCATATCATATACATTAGACTGTGAGCTTTTAGAGGGCAGGCACTATCTTTTGTCTTTTTTTTTTTTTGGTATCCCTGGTGCTTAGCACAGTGCCTGGCACATAGTAGGCACTCAATAAATGCTCGATGAAAAAAACTCCTAATGACTGATGAAAAATGCTTATTGATTTTATCAATATAGATCAAGGTTCTTTTTATATGGCATTGAAAAATCAGTACCTGCCCACATGTCGAGAAGAATGTTGAAAAATAGGGTAACTGACCATGGGGAGGGGGAGGGGCAGATATGGAGGCGGCAAATGCTAAATTGGCTTCTCTCTTCCTAGGATTCTAACATTCCTGAGCTTCTTCTCTTTCATTGATGCTAGCAATAACTATGATCTTTGTTCTACTGAGATACTCGAAGTGTAGCAATCAATCAATCAATAAGCATTTATTAAGCACCTACTGTGTACTCACATCAGATAGTATGCAAGTAGGTGCTGGAGATAGAAAGTGAAACAATCCCTACCCTGAAGGAATGTACATTCTATAGGACATATTGAAAAAGCCCTTTAGAGGCAGCTAGGTGGCCCAATGGATAGAGCACCAGCCCTGGAGTCAGGAGGACCTAAGTTCAAATCTGACCTCAGACATTTACTAGCTAGCTGTGTGACCCTGGGTAAGTCCCACTGCCAAAGGGAAAAGAAAAAGAAAAAGCCCTTTGAAGTCGGAGAAAAAAAATATTTGAAAGTTCAAGGTAAGATATTACTTTAGAAAGACATTGCTTGAAACACACTGCTTTATTTTTTTTTCTACATTATGTGGCATCCAATTTTCTAATTTATGTAGTTTTTTGTTGTTTTGTATTTGGCATTTTTTTAGATGAGACTGTTAGGAGCTCTAGTCAAGTCTAGTCTAGTCTTCAGTCAAATTAAGTTAACAAGCATTTATTAACTATCTGCTGTGTGACAGGCATTGGGCTGAGCACGAGGGATACAAAGAAAGGCAGAAACAGTCCCTGCTCTCAAGCACGACACGGTTTAATGGGGGAAGCAGCCTATACACTACTATGTACAAGAGATAGCTACACATATATGTATGTGTGTATGTGTGTCTAAATAGTATATATATATATATACATATATATATACATATATATATATAACATTTTATAAGTGTATATCTACATATTCATGAAAAATTGGAGGTACTATCCACAGGAAAGCACTAGCAATAAGAGAGATTATGAAAGGCTTCTTGCAATAGGTGGAATTTTAGCTGAGACTTGAAGGAATCCAGGGAAGCAGAAGGCAGGGATGAGGAGGGAGAGAATTTCAAGAATGAGAGAAAACCAATGAAAATGCCTAGAATTGGGAGACAGAATGTCTTATGGGAGCATTAGTAAGGATGGCAGTGTCACTGGGTTGAGGAGTACATTATGGGTGAGTAAAAAAACTGGAAAGGTAGGAGGGAGCCAGGTTATGAAGGGTTAGGGTTAAAAAGTCAAAAGATTTTATTTATTTGATTCTATAAATAATAGGGAGCCATTGGAATTTATTGAATAGGAAGACACATGAGCAGATCTACTCTAAGATCAATTTGACAGATGCATGGAGATCAGACTGAAGTGGGGAGAGACTTGAGGCAAAGACACCAATGAGAAGATTATTGAAATGGTTTGTTGGTTGGTTTGTTTTTTGGTTTTAGGCAATTGGGGTTAAGTGACTTGCCCTGGGTCACACAGCTAGTAAATGTCAAATGTTTGGTCTGAGGCTAGATTTGCACCCAGGTCCTCCTAACTTCAGTGCCGGCACTCTATCCACTGCACCACCTGGCTGCCCCTAAGATTACTGAAATGGTACAGGCATGAGGCGATGATGTCCTGGAGCTGAGTGGTGGCAGTGTCAGAGGAGAAAAGGGGGGAGTATATAAGAGATGTTACAACAGTGAAACCAATAGACCTTGGCAACTGATTATATATGGGGATGGGGGAGAGAGTGAGGATGGAGTGAGGAGTTAAGGATGACATGTAGGTTGTGAGCCTGGGTGTCTGGGAGGGTGGTGGTGCCCTCAGCAATAATAAGAAAGTTGGGAAGAAGAGAGAGCTTGGGAAGAAAGATAATGAATTAGTCCTTGACAGTTTGAGTTTGAGGTAGCTATAGGACATTCAATTTAAGATGTCCAATAGGCAGATGAAGATTTGAATCTAAAGGATAAAGAGATTTAAAAATCATCTGCATAGAGATGATAACTAAATCCATGGCAGCTGATGAGATCGCCAAGTGAAATAGTATAGAGGGAGAAGAAAAGAGGGCCCATAACAGAACCTTAGGGTACACCCACAGTTAGCGGGCACAACTTGGATGAAGATAAAGAAAAGGAGACAGAGAAGAAGCCATCAGTGAAGTAGGAGAAGAATCAGGATGGGAAAGTGCCATGAAATCCTCAAGAGAAGAGAATATCAGGGAGAAAAGGGTGATCAACAGTGTCACAGGCTGCAGAGAGATCAAGAAGGGTGAGGATTGAGAAGGAAAGATCCTTAGATTTGGAAATTAATTAAATTGCTGGTAATTTGGAGAGACCAGTTTCAGTTGAATGGTGACAATGGAAGCCAGACTACAGAGAGTGAGAGAAAAGGAAGCAGAGGCATTGATTGTAGATGGCCTTCTCAAGGAGCACCTTTTCAGCAACTTATCATCTTACAGAGTGGCCTAGGACACTGTTAAGATGTTAAGAGACTTGCCCAGGGTCATACAATTTGTGTCAGACAGAAATTAAACCTGAGCCTTCTTGACTCTGAGAGCAGTTCTCTAACCACCATGTCATGTCACCTCTCAAGATATATAATAGCTGTATACAAATCAGAATTCTTATTAAGTTTTTTTAAGGCAATTGGGATTAAGTGACTTGCCCAGGGTCACACAACTAGGAAGTGTCAAGTGTCTGGTCTGATGCCGGATTTGAACTCAGGTCCTTCTGACTCCAGGGCTGGTGCCACCTAGCTGCCCCTCTTATTAAGTTTTGAATCTTGGAGGCTCCACTGGGTATCCTTGCTGAGACAGTGCGTGCCAGATGGACTGAGCTACAGCTAGTACAGAACAGCTATGACAGATTCCTATTAATTAGATATTAATCAACCGCTCACCAGTACGCATGAGAGAAGCAGGAACTGTTACAGAGATTGCACCCAGAGTGACATCTGTTTTGGCGGGTCCACATACCACATCTCTTTTATTAGTTCCATTTACAAGCACAACTAATCCATTCAGAGAGCAGCTGAAGTTAAATGAGAAGCAATCAAATAATTAAAACTTGCACGTGATTAATTTCAGAAACCAAAGCAATTACTTCTTTCTATTTGATTTCATGGAAAGTTAATAATAAAATGAATTTGAAGTTAACCTTCAATAAATACTTCACAGGATCATGTAACCTTAGACTTGGACATTAAAGGCTTTCTAATCCAACTCAGAATCCCATCTACACTACCCTCCAATACAGGAGCATTCAGTTTCTAGCTGAATACCTCTAGGAAGGAAGAACTCATCCTCTCCTGAGACAGCCCATTGCTCTCTTGGATGCTAACTGTTGGCAGGTTTTTCCTTCAATTGACCCCCAAGTATTTCTTAGGTTCTGGGAGAATAGATTTGAAATCTCCTACATAATATTAAATGTTATGGAAGATACAAAGAAGATAATAACAGCATCCTTACTCTCATGGAGCTTACAATCTGGGAAGACAAGGACACAAATAACTATAATAACAACAACAACAATAATAAGTGACTCACACTTGCATAGTTCTCTACCTTTTAAAAGCTTTTTTCCTTACAACCCTGTATCTTCATTTTACAGACAAGAAAACTGAAAGCTTAGAAAGTAACATGGCAAAAGTGGTGGTGCAGGGCTTTATATCAAGCTCTAAGACCAGAGCTTTCTATACTATATTACACTGTTTCTCCAATGCAAGATAAGATGTGAAAATGTAATGAGAGATATAGAGTTCTGTGTCACTGAAGCTGCAATCATGGCTGAAATGGCCAGAGAGAAAATGTAGGCAGAGACAAGTACCATGGACAGAACCCAAGGAACCATCAACATTCTTCCAGGGATGGGAGGAGGACATATGGAAGGAGTCATAAATGAAGCAGAGCTATAGGAGAAGTAGGATATTATCACAGAAGCCAAGGGAAGAAAGAGTTTCAAGGACTTGGTAATCAATAGTGTCAAATGCAACAGAGAGATCAGTGAGGATGATGACTGAAAAAAAAAACATTGGATTTAGTAATTAGGAGGCCACTGAATACTTTAAGAAAGAGAAGGTGATGGGAAGAAAGGAGAAGAGATGGAGTGAGTTAGAGGAGGAGGGGAGAGAGGAAGGAAAGGATGGAGAGAGGGGCAGGGAGAGGGAGAGACAAACAGAAAGGAGAGGGAGGGAGGGAGAGAGGAAGGAGAGAAGGAGGGAGAGAGAGGGGGAGAGACAGAAAGGAGAGGGGAGAGAGAGAGAGAGAGAGGGAAGGAGGGAGAGAGACAGATACAAAGGAGAGGGATGAAGAGACAGAGAGAGATGGGGAGAGAGGGAAAAGGAGGGAGAGAGGAAAGGGACAAGGAGGAAGAGAGAAAGAGAGAGGAGGAGGGAAGGAGATGAGAGAGGGAGAGAATTAAGTCAGCAATAAAAGCTGCAAAAAGTGAAGGGTGAATGGGGAGAACTGGTGATATCATTTGTGTTACCAAAATAATACTTTTCCAATATATGGCTTTACCTGATGTACTCTATTAATATGTAAAACTTTAACATTTCTTATCTTAAAATATAAACTTAATCTAGAACAATCATTGAATATATCTAAAGGAAATAATGTTATACATACTTTGTCCAGTGTCTGCAGTTCCCCTGTGTCAGATCATTAAAGGTACCAAAGCTACAGTCCCTACAACCTTGAAAAAAATGAAAACAGAGGTGGAGAAACATAAGTATTTTCATCATTTTAAGTTTCTTTTTTCTTGATGTAAACATCATACTGATTTTTTAATGTGTGTAACTATTTACCAGTTCTTAAAGCCCTGTGATTTGAAATAGCCTTGAGGTTTTCATTCTGATGACAAGCATTTAAGGAAACTTTATGGGAGTGAATATGTTTGAAAATATTGTGATGTAGAATGGATGACAAATATTCAAATTATGCTTTATTAAAAATAATTCCTGATTTACTAGTATGCTTGACTCAGTCATTTATACATATACATCTCATTAAATGTTACATGCAATAGGATCATAGGTTTAGAACTAGAAAAAAAACTTAGCGGCCATCTGAGTCCAGCCCCCTCATTTTACAGATGAGGAAACTGAGGCCCAAGGAGGTTAAATAGCATGCCCAAGATCATACAAGTAGTAAATGGCATAGTCAGGATTTGAATCCAGATCCTCTGAGTCCAAGCCTAGCATTCTTTTCATTCTACCATGCTGCTTAGGAGTCTACCTGTGTAGTTTTGGAACAATTAACAAGTTTATAATTTCTAATAGCCTTTGGGGGTGAGGGTGGGGGGTGGGAGGGTGGAACAAGACTTACCTTTTCCTATAAATTCTTGCCCTTGCTTGCAATCTGGTTGACATCTAGAACATCCTGCTCCAGCACAATGATACCCGGACATACAATCACACTCCGTATCACTTGTTGGAGTACATTCTCTCTTAGTTCTGAAAATACCTTTAAAAAATCCAAACCCATTTGAAAATAGGATATAAATGCTTATTGACAAATTCTATAATGAAACCTTTCCCTCACACCGTCCCCCACTGCACTAGCAGAATGTAAACTTCTTAGGTCACAGACTGTTCCATTTTTCCCTTGTATCTCCAGCACCTCCTGGTGTCAAGCACATAAATGCTTGTTGAGTTGAAATAAAATTGAATATATGACTATAGTAATAAAGTTTCTTGTGACTTTTAGTGCTAAATTAACTCTAAGAACATAATTCCTTCATTTTGGTTAGTAGAAGCATATCCCCATCAACTGTGAAATAGCATTTCACCTGGAATAAACTTTCAATAAAATGCTACTCCTCACATTTTTTTAAGAAACCCAAATTACAAACAGGAAAATGATAAATGTTGGAGAAGATGTGGGAAAATTGGAACACTAATGCATTGTTGGTGGAGTTGTGAAATGATCCAACCATTTTGGAGAGCAATTTGGAATTATGCCCAAAGGACTATAAAAATGGGCATACCCTTTGACCCAGCAATACCACTTCTAGGGCTATATCCCAAAGAGATCATACAAATGGGAAAAGGACCCACATGTACAAAAATATGCATAGCAGCTCTTTTTGTGGTGGCAAAGAATTGGAAATTGAGAGGATGCCCATCAATTGGGGAATGCTGAGCAACTTGTGGTATATGAATGTAATGGAATACTATTGTGCTATAAGAAATGATGAACAGGCTGACTTCAGAAAAACCTGGAAAGACTTGTATGGTCTGATGCTGAGGGAAGTGAGCAGAACCAAGGGAACTTTGTACACAATAACAGCCACCTTGTGCGATGACTAATATTGATTAACTTAATCCTTCCTAGCAACACAAGGATCTAAGATATCTCCAAAGGGTTCATGATGGAAAATGCTATCCACATCCAAAGAAAGAACTATGGAAGTTGAATTGCTATTTTTTTTCTCTTCTGTTGAATTTTGTTTCCTCTTTCTGATGGTTCCTCCTGTTGGTTTTAATTTTTACGTACAACATCACTAATGTGAAAATATGTTTGATAAGAATGTATTGTGTGCTGTCTTGGGGAGGATGGTGGGGAGGAAGGGGGAGAAAAATTTTAAACTCAAAAGCAAATGGAAGTGATTATTGATAAATCAAAATAAATTAATAAAAAAATCCAAAATTAAAAAAAAAGAGAGAATTGTATGCAGGGGAAAAAAAAAAGAAACCCAAATTACTCCATGTAGCTACCACTACAGTAATTTTTAAAATTTCTCAGCACATATAGGAAATAGCATTCATGACATTTGAGAAGTAGTGGGAATGGAGAAGAGGCTAGAAAATGAACATATTCTCTCTCTCTCTCTCTCTCTCTCTCTCTCTCTCTCTCTCTCTCTCTCTCTCTCTCTCTCTCTCTCTCTCTCTCTCTCCCCCTCTCCTTCTTTAACTCCCTCCATCTCTTCCCCTTTCCTCCCATCACCTTCTCTTACTTAAAGAGAACTTAGGGTGTGGAGCATTGTATATACTGTCATTTCTGCTGAATATGTTGCTTGGTTTTGCTGAACTGATTTTTAAAAATCATTGTCATAAGGGATGGCTCAATAGGTAGTATTGGGGGAAAGATATATTTGTAAATGAAAATGGTCTAAAAACATAAGATAATTTTAAGTAATTTAAAAATCATGGGCACAGAGAGAGGCATAATACAACAGAGAGTGAAAGTCTGCCTAGTTCATCACTTCTCTGAAATTGACCCTATATGCATACACACATATTTGTAGATCCATATGCATGTATGAGATCCTACCTTCACATCTCTTGCATATGTCACATGTCCTCTGTTCACCAGCTGTACTAGAGAAACTATTTGGGGGGCACGGGATGCAAGCCTGATTTTTGTTTTTTCCGCAGTCTGTACCATTCCAGAAAGTACCTAAGGGATAAAAGAGAGGAATCAAGGGATTCTGGTAACTTTTGGCACTTTACATTCTTCACTGTAGCGTTCAAAAATATTTAAAGACACAGGGGAAATAAAAATGTAGAAAATCTAGTGGTTCCCAAGTGCTACTGTAATGGAGTTATATTTTGATTAGTGATTGACTGGCTTTTAAAGCTGCACCCTCCACAAGCATGCTTTGGGAATAAACACAGAATCAAAAAGAACAAGACGTAAATAAGACAGAGTTAAAATAGATTATATACATCTTACGGCTAAATTAGAATAGAATCCCTGCTTATTCTGATGACTGAATCCACTAAGAAAGGAATTTTCCTAACTATTCCACTAAAATTATATTCAGAATGAACCCAAGAAGTTAATTAAAATCAGGTAGAGCGGCTCTGGAATTAAGAATCAGTCTGTAGGATAGACACAAACACATCCTTAGTTTTTGTTCTTACCTGCTGGACAGCTGCCGCAGGAACCTCGGACCAGAGTTATCCAGAGCAGCATGACAAGAGTTAGCATTGCCTCCAGTTTATTGTAGCTGTTCACCATTTTAGGGTCTTGGAGAAAAGTGATCCTCAGCAGGTCAGTTCCCACAAAACTTTAGCCTGTTTCCACAATCTTCACTCTCAAGGAAGCACTTTCAGGTGATAAAGCTAGGTTGTGTGTCTCATGAACTAATCGTCCATCTGGAAATTCATTGATTACCTACAAAAATCCACAGATGTCAACCCAGCCTTGTTCTGGAAAAACAACAGAAGCAGCTGCCCTGGCAGGCGAGAGATTCCACAATGCCTATCCTCTTTGGTCTAAGTTTGCCTGGGTTTTCCTAACTGAAAAACCCCTTTCACAGCATCACCTTGAGGCAGGTCCAGTTTCAGAGTTCCCTGGCGATGGCATCCAGAGTTCAGCAATGCTTTCTGCATACCTAGAACAAGACATGCTTGGTCATTTGATCCATCCATCAACAGGCACTATGCAAAGCTCTGGAGATACAAAGACAGAAGTGAAAGCAGTCCCTGTCCTCAAACAGCTTCCATTCTATCAGGCAGAAGTTCCTGAAGAAGGGAGGGGAATAGCTTATCAATGACTTTTTATTTTTTGGAGAAACTTGGTTCTCTCATTGACACTGCTGATCACTAAAGCCTAGAATAAATAAACCAGAAGTTTCAAAATCAACTAAAGTGATCGTTTGGGGGTGGGGCAGCGTCCCTGTGCTCAACCTGTCCTGATACTTCTCGTCCCCTTTGCAGACATGGATTTTTTCTGACATCTGGAGCAAAGCAAAGGAAATGTTAAGCAAAATTGATATTCTCTTCTATAACATCTATTTTATGCTAGGCTCCCAGGACCTGATTGAAGGGGAATCACTGAATACAAACCATAAAATGAGAAGGAAACAGGAAACTCAGAAAGGCAAAAGACGAGGAAGTTCTACCGAAAACAAACCTGTGCAAGTTTCGGGGCTGCGTTCAGAGAGTTCAATTTCTCGATCTTCAGGAACAGAGAGCATTTTTATAGCTAGTGCATTCTAAACCTTCCTCACAAGCTCGGGTGACTCAGTAGGGGCGTGGGGGGGAGGAGGAGCCTCTTGGGAAATCCCCTCAATGATTTTAATTAGAGCTTTATCAAGGCTGAAGTTGGCTGCCCCCAAAATCCCCTAGGGCCCCTATTACCATGGTTAACAAGGTCTCAGTTCATTTCTTGGAAGCAGTCTTTAACTCTCTATTAGGATTTTTCTTAGGTCTCCCTGAGAAATCAAAGGATTTTGTCACTTCAAAGAGCCCTGTAACACCACCTTTTACCCTGCCCTCAGAATGTTTGAGGCCCAATAAAGGCAATCATCTTAACCCTGAGATATCCCCTTGAAACCTGTCCTATCACATGCTGGGGAACTTTGGGAATTTTGTAAGAATAAAAAGGGATGACTTTCACCGTCTATGTCAGCACTGAGCTAAAGCAATTTCCTATAAGTGAGGATCACAGCTATGTGGCATAAATACTGGATTGCCCAATGAGCACTAATATTACTCAGTAAATTTTTGGCGGGAACCTACACCTATGATTTCATCAATATGGGGAACTCCCAGTGTGGAAATTCCCTTTGATGAAGCAGAAGGCAACCTATCTGAAGCTTCATGTCATAGAAGGTAGCCTAGGGCCCTGAGGGGTTAAGCAAGCTGCTCCAGGTCATATAGTCTAGATATATCAAAGGTGGACCATGAACCCTAGTTTTCCTGACTCCATGATCCACCCTCCACCCACTATCACTATGCCAGGCTGTCTCATCCTTATTAAATATCTATAGAAAATGACCATTTTATTATTTTAAAATTTGATTGTTATCTTTTGTTTCTATATCACCTTCATTTCCCAATGTATCTCTCTCCCCTCCCCAACCCAGGGAATGATACCTTGTAACAACCATTTATTAAGTGCCTACTATGTGCTAGGGAGAAACTTGCAAGAAACAAGTAGAAAAGTGAAATCTTTCTCTGTTTTTTCATCTACATCTCTTAGGATCATAGAAAATGGGAAGCTGGAGCTAGAAACCCTGGTAGAAGGATGGATGGATTAATGGATAGAGAGAGAGAGAGAGAGAGAGAGAGAGAGAGAGAGAGAGAGAGAGAGAGAGAGAGAGATTGATTGATTGATTCACAGATAGATACATAGTAGATAGATACATAGATACATAGATACATGCACAGATACATAGATACATAGATAGATAAAATGAGTGAGTGAGTGAGCATACCTTAAGTGCTTACCATGTTCCAGGCACTATGTTAAACACTGGGGATACAAAGAAACAGGACAGTGTCTGCCCTCAAGAAGCTTACATTCTAACTGGAAAAGAAAAAAACATAAAAACACATACTAACTTCATCTCAGTACAGAGCAATGTTATAATAAGGGCCTAGGACACTATTTGCCCTATAAAATATACAGTATTAACAGCTTGGTGGTATAAGGCATTCATATTGAGCATGTCTTGGAAGACAGACTACCAAATATTTTATAAATTCTGTAGTTATTTTGAATGGAATTTCTCCTTTTATCTCTTTTCAGCTGTGTATTCCTGGTGATATACAAGAATGCTGGTGATTTATGTGGATTTGTTTTCTATCCTGGGAATTTTCTGGATTTATTATTTCAATTAGGTTTTTTTTTTTGAGAGCTCTTTAGAGTTCTTTAGATAGACCAGGGGGTGGGGAACCTGTGGCTCGAGACCACATGTGGCCCTCTAGGTCCTCAAGTGCAGCCCTTTGAGTCCAAGCTCACAGAACAAATCCCCTTAATAAAAGGATTTGTTTCATAAAACTTGCACTCAGTCAAAAGGCCACACCCAAGGACCTAGAAGGCCACATGTGGCCTTGAGGCCACAGATTCCCCACCCCTGAGATGGACCACATAAGCATCTTCAAAAAGTGTTTCTAAGTGATTCTGTAAGATTATGTTACCTAGAAGGTTGCAATCTGCATTGATAAAAGGACTCTCCTCCTCTAGGAGTTCCTTCTACTAATGAAATCACAACTTTAGTTCTTATCCTTATTAAGGACAGAGCTAGTAAGATTTAGATTTTTCCATTTCTTAGAATGGATTTTCTTGATGTCAAGAGAAAAGGGAGAGCCTCCCGCTACACTCCTCTCACATGTTGGGTGAGCTGTCTCCTGGGAGGACATGGATCAGATAGACACAGTCAAGAATGGCTTATTAACTGTGTCATTGGATACACTGAAAGAGTAGAATATTACCTAGAATAATCCCTCCAGTCATCCATACCAGGTAACAGGCAATCTGCCTGACACTGTTCTCTGCTCTTCTTTGCTCACCTAGAGCAGCTTGGTCCAGACAATACCTCCAGAGACCATGTTTACCCTCCTCTACTTTCTGCTTCCTTCCCCTCCCTAACAGTTATTCAATCAGCTTTGGAACTCCTACCCTGGGAATGAACAGTCCTGATAGATGAGTGAGTACAAACTCACCTAACCCCTAGTTCTATTTCTCATCCTATCCATCCATTCACCCATCCACCCTGGCCATCCTGCTTCCTACCCTGCTGCCTCACATGTATTTTGCTCCTCTCTCCCTCTCCCCGCCCTTCCTACTCTTGCTCTGGAAACAGCAATTAAAGAATATGATCATTGCTTCTGGAAAGGGCATTATCAATCAATTCACCATTCCTATGGCTTATTCTGTTGAGTAAACTTGTATCCCAGATATAGAGCCAATGTAAAGAGGTATAGCATCTTCAAATAAATGCTTACAGACCTGGCAGAATCATTTCTAAAAGGTCCTTGGAGAATTCCCCTCCCCCTTTGCCTTACATTTTAGTTCTTTAAAAATGGAAATTATTTGGGACAGCGAGGGGGCGCTGTGGATAGAGCACTGGCCCTGAAGTCAGGAGGACCTGAGTTCAAATCCCGCCTCAGACCAAACACTCGACATTTACTAGCTGTGTGACCCCGGGCAAGTCACTTAACCCCAATTGCCTTAAAAAAAAAAGGAAATTATTGAAGAAATAAATAAATGAATGAAAAGACATTTATTAAATGCCTACTATGTGCCAAGCAGTGTTGAGGATATAAATACAAAAGTGATACAGTCTCTGTCCTCAAGGAACTTACATTATGATAGGGGGAAAGTAGCATGTGTGTGTGTGTGTGTGTGTGTGTGTGTGTATGCATATGTGTGTGTGTCTGTGTGTGGATAGGCATCTAGTGGCTGTGGATAGAGCCACCCTGGATAGAGTGCCATCCCTGGAATCAAGAAGACTTGAGTTCAACTCTGATCTCAGACACTTACTAGTTGTGTGACCCTGGGTAAGTCACTTTACCCTCTTTGCCTCAGTTTCTTCATCTGTAAAGTGAGCTAGAGAAGGAAATGGCAAACCACTCCATTATCTTTGTGAAGAACACCCCAAATGGGGTCATGGAGAGTGAGACATGACTGAAAAACAACTAAACAACAACACAGAGACGGTATAGAAAATAACAAAGGAGATGAAATGAAAAGCACGGGAAAAGATGAAATTGTCATAACAGCTCACTCTCACTTTCCTAAAAATCAAGCAATCAATGAATATTTCCTAAGCTCCAGTGGAGAAACTGAGGCAAGAAGTTGTGTCTTGCTGAAGGTCACAGAGGTAGTCAGTAGTAGAAGCGAGAACCCAGGCCTTCTGTCTTCTAGGAGTTTTCCATTTCTCACCCTTAGCCAAGAATGGGAAGTCCAGCAGTAAGCTCTAATGTTGCTTAGCAGATGGTACGCCTAAAATACATTCGTAGTTTCTGGCCTAGCAAATGATAGTCTCATAATCTGGTCCAAACATTTCTTTCTATTTTCTGTTTCTCTTCTTACTAAACAGTACTCTCTGAGGTTAAAAATAAAAAAGGAAGGGGGTTGAAGGTCAGCTTCACCAAAAAGGCATTGTAGACAAGAGGTTAAAGGTTTTGTGAAAAATGCAAAACTGGAATTAGACATATTGTCCAATTTGTAAGCTAGGAGAATGAGACAAGCCAGAGTAAGATGGCAACTGTTTTTAGCATGGGCATGTGTGGGTTGAATTCCTGAATGTGGATGTGAAAAAGTATCTAAATTGATGCTGGAGTTGGAGGGGGGCAGCAGGGAAGGACAGAGGGGAAGGGCACAAGTTAGAGGGCAGAAAAGAGTCCCAATGATTCATGATGGTACTATTGGGTATAGCTGTGAAGAGTTTGTGAGAACTCTGCAGAAAAATGGCTTCAAATAAAAACTCAAAGTTAGAATTATATTTGAGTCACAGTTCTATCACTTCCTAATCAGTCGACCTTGGGTAAGTGAAAACTTCTTTGAGACTGAGTTTCATTACAGCCTAATGATAGCCGGTCAGGGAGCCTTCAGTCTGTTTTGGGGAAAGGAGGTGTTCTGTTCCATTGCGGTCTACAGGTTACCAAAGGTTTTGTATGGGAAGAGTATTATATTTTTCTCAGTATAATATTCTTCCCATACAAAACAACAAAAAAAGAAGAATTCAGAGAAGCTTGGAAAGACGTGTAAACTAACTGATGCAGAGCAAAGTAAGTAGAACCAAGAGAACATAGGGGCCTAAAGGGGAAAAAACATTATAAGACATCAGAATTCTGCTCAGTGTTAATGGTCAATCTTGATCTCAGAGGACTGACCATGAAACATGCCTCCCTTTCTCAGCAGAGACATGGTAGACTCTAAGTAGGGCAGTTAGGTGGCACAGTGGATAGAACACCAGCCCTGGACTCAGGAAAACCTGAGTTCAAATGCAGCCTTACACACTTACTAGTTGTGTGACCTTGGGCAAGTCACTTAACCCTGTTTGCCTCAGTTTATCATCTGTAAAATGAGCTGGAGAAGTAAATGACAAACCATTCCAGTATCTCTGCCAAGAAAACCCCATATAGGATCATGAAGAGTCAGACACGACTGAAATAACTTACCAACAACCAAGACTGTAAGTACAAAATGATGTACACATTGTCAGATGTGGCCAATGCATTATTTTGCTTTACTTAA